GCTCCCTGCTCAGCCAGGAGCCTGCTTCTCCCTCTCCCACTCCCCCTGCTTGTGTTCCCTCTCTCGCTGTCTGCCTCTGTCAAATAAATAAATAAAATCTTTAAAAAAAAAAAAGAAATACAAAAATTCCCCTGAAGGCTAAGAAAGCTCAAAGCTACTTGCACTGCATATGGCAGAAGGCCTAAATCCAAATTCCTAATTTTTTATAATTTACTGTGAAACTTTTATAATTTCTATACTTCTGCCAGTGTAGATTTTTGTGTGGAAACCAGTCAGAACAGGGATTCTGCCTATAAATAGACCTAAAGAGAATTTCAGTATTTATTCCCTATAGGCATATCTCTTTATTTATGACTAGCATTAGGGTTCACATAACACCTGTAACTTGCAGTATTTTATTGATGTTTTCAATCCTGGATTATGTTGGAGAGCTTTGCTCTCGCATCACGTTCACATCATTTGTCTCAGTTTATGAGCGTCTGAGTAAGAGCCTGGTAAAGATTTAAAGGAACGGGCCTTCACTTCCCAGGGAGCGTTTCCGTTTGAATGTCTCACTTTTCTAAGAGAAAGCAAGGCACCGGGGTGCCTGGGTGCTCAGTCTGTTAAGGTCTGTCTTCGGCTCGGGTCATGATCCCGGGGTCCTGGGATCGAGCCCCGCAATGGGCTCCCTGCTCAGCGGGAAGCCTGCTTCTCCCTCTCCCACTGCCCCTGCTTGTGTTCCTTCTCTTCTCTGTCAAATAAATAAATAAAATCTTTAAAACAAGAAAAAAAGAAAGCAAGCCACCTCTGACTTTGAAATTCCAAAATACTGCTTTTTATGTCTTAGTTTTAGAACATTAGTTCTTTATTATTTAGGAGAATCCTGGAACAGCACCCTTTCGTCATTTCTTTTTCATTTCTTTCTTTGTTCTACTCAGTAGAAAATTTAAGATGATCTTCTAGCCGTGCGTTAACCTTTATTCTGCTTTTCTTTTTTCCTTTTTTTTTTAATCTATAAATTTTAGGCTAGATTATTAGAATCTCTAAATATCTTAAGCAGAAAGGAAACTCAGGTGAGACTAAAAGGGAAATTTCAGAGAACAAGAGACCTGATGTGTCCTGGATGATTAGTAGACATGCATAATTTCCTTCATACCATATGTTTTATAAGGAAATTCAAGTGATTCTTCTTAGAAAACAAGCAAGATTTTAAACACCAAAGCTTAGCTAAGATGAAGAGCTATCAGTTCATTGTTGTGTCTCTAGAGCTTCAAGGAGATTTCTTAATCAAAGGACAGAAAACACACAGACACTCGCATCCATCTACGCAGAGCCTGAAGGAGAACAGAGTGGCTTCACCAGCGGAAAAGCTGGGGACTCGGGAGGGACCAAGAGGGAAAGGAGTCGAGCAGAAATGCCAGGCAAAGACATGTGGCGCCAGGAGCGTCCTCCACTTAGTTCCTACACACAGTGCCCTTGGCGTTTCCTCTCGGCTTGCTGAGAATATTTTGTGTCTGGATAATTTCTTCAACATCTTAAAATATATAGAAAGATACTCTGAGTCACTTCACATGTGCACACACTTTAAAAACCTATTTTTTTATTCTCTCGCCGAAGCTTGAAGTATGACATGGAGTTCCCAACTCTCACTGCTTTCCTGGTGCATTTCTTTTTTTTTTTTTTTTTAAAGATTTTATTTATTTATTTGACAGAGAGAGACACAGCGAGAGAGGGAACACAAGCAGGGGGAGTGGGAGAGGGAGAAGCGGACTTCCTGCCGAGCAGGGAGCCCGATGCGGGGCTCGATCCCAGGACCCTGGGATCATGACCTGAGCCGAAGGCAGACGCTTAACGACTGAGCCACCCAGGCGCCCCTTCCTGGTGCATTTCTTTCAGCCTTTGAACATGGGAGTTTGCCAAAGCCATTTTCCCCTCGTGTCATGGACCTCCATTAGGAAGATGGCCCTCCCAGTGTCTAGCTTAACCCATTAATGGGTCTACATTGAATCTATAAAAATATTGTTCTGGTTATTCTGGAACATGCAGGTATTAGTATAAAAAGCCTGTGAGCAGGATTTTTTTTCCTATCAAAGTCCTATTCCTTTGGATTGCTGCATCGACCTGCTCTGTCATGTGACATTTACTTTTCTAAATAGTTGAGTGCTTAAGTCCTCACATACTGGAACCAGGGTATGGTCAATAGGTTTATATTTCTTAACATAGTATTGGATTTATTCAGATGTGGTGTGTCTTTTGCTCATCATCTGTGTTAAAATCTATTATTCAGAAGAGATTTATAAAACAGGCTTTTTTCTTAGTCAAATTGGAAGGGAGAATTAGAGAACATTTTCCCCTAAAGAAATGTTAATGTTCACTTTGTGGCTTCATCTTTGCTCTATGACTTCGTTTTTCCTGTTTCTGTATTTGCTTACTTAAAACCACAAGTGTGTTACCTCATTTGAAGTCGTTTTTCTGGGGATTTTCCTTGACTAATGTCTATAGAACTACTTTTGATAAAAATGAACTTTGCCATCTCAAATGTGTTTCACAGCCCAACAACTCTCACACGTCTGTCTTTCAGAAGGACACCTATGTCTTTAAAGAGAAAAAAATGTCATCATTTGGTACCTTAACTCTTGTCATTTCTTCATGGTGTGATATTAGTTCTCGTGACTTTTCCGTTTTAGGAGCTACCTACTTCTCCAAAATGTTATGAAGTAGTTAGAGCCTCTGGTAAAAGGTATTAAAAAACCAACCATTGGTCATTTGTCTGAACTTGGAGCTCCAAGAAAAAAATAGTTGACAGAACTACACGATGGTAGTAAGATGTCCCTCAGTGCTCTCCATCACAGGAATCAGTGATGGTTTGAAACACTTGCTTTAAGCAGTTTATACCAAGAATGGACTTCAGTGTTATTCCTGTTAGTCATACCAATGCTTTACCCTTTCGGCTTATAAATGTCCATGCTTTATTCTTTCTGTCTCATTTAAGAGACAGTACACCTCTAAAAATAGCATCTATAGTTTATGATAAATTTTTGGCCAGCCAGTTCTCAGTAAAAGGCAAGTATGTTATACTTGAACCTACTTCAAGAAATGCCTTTTTAGGGCGCCTGGGTGGCTCAGTTGGTTAAGCGACTGCCTCGGCTCAGGTCATGATCCTGGAGTCCCTGGATCGAGTCCCGCATCGGGCTCCCTGCTCAGCAGGGAGTCTGCTTCTCCCTCTGACCCTCCTCCC